TTGTGACGTGGACAGTGTCATCTATTGTTGTGTTTCATTTGTGACATGGACAGTGTCATCTATTGTTGTGTTTCATTTGTGACGTGGACAGTGTCATCTAGGATATTTGTTGACATTAGTCTTGTTCATACTAGCTGAATTGATTAAAGCGGGAGGAGAAGCAAGAATAAAAATCTATCATGCATTATGTGAAAAGATATGGAAATATGGTATTTGGCCAAAAGACTGGAAGAGAACTATCTTCATTCCAATACCAAAAAAGGGTGACCTGAAATTATGTTCAAACTATCGAACTATTGCCCTGATCAGTCATGCAAGTAAAATTCTACTAAAAATTATAATGAGAAGACTGCATAAGAAAATGGAAGAAGAGATTAATGTAGCTCAGGCTGGATTTAGACAGGGAAGAGGAACAAGAGATCATATATTCAACATGCGTTTAATAATAGAGAAGTGTAGAGAATTTAATGTAAATCTGTTCTTATGTTTTGTGGATTATTCAAAAGCATTTGACTGTGTACAACATCAGAAGCTTTGGGAAATCATGAGGAATATGGGCTTTCCATCACATATAGTGCAGCTCATTAAAATGCTCTATCAAGACCAACAAGCAGCAGTCAGAATAGATGGAGAGACATCAGACTGGTTTGGCATCAAGCAAGGAGTCCGTCAGGGATGTGTGCTGTCACCGTATTTGTTCAACCTGTACGCTGAAAATATAATGAGAAATGTAAGAGATGATATAAACAAGGAACAATATGATGCCCTAAACATCGGTGGTCATGAAATACCAGAAATTCGTTATGCTGATGATACAGTATTACTATCAACATCACAAAATGGTTTAGAAAACTTATTAACCTCACTCCAAAGAAATAGTAAAAATCATAACTTATTTCTTAACATAGCAAAAACAAAGATAATGCATACAAACAAAACTGCCATGGAGAAGGAAATATATGTTAATGAGGAAAGATTGGAAGTGGTGGAAAATTTCGAATATCTTGGGTCACTGGTTACCAACAATGGTGACACAATGAAAGAAATTAAACGGCGACTATCAATTGCTCTTCAAAGACTAAAACAACTGAATAAATTATGGAATTGTACAGATAGAATTACAAAGGTCAGATTCTTAAGAGCATGCATCTTTCCCATTGCAACATACGCCTGTGAGACCTGGACACTTATTAAACAAGCGGAACAGCGCATAAATGCATTTGAATATAAATGTTACAGACAGGTTCTAAGAATATCTTGGGTAAAGAAAAGAACAAATGCATCCATACTTCAAGAGCTATATATTGAAGAGGGTTGGCTAGTAAAGACAATAAAACAAAGAAAATTGAAATATTTTGGTCACTTGAAATGTCATGGAAGTCTAGAGAGAACAATAATGGAGGGGTATATGCCTGGGAAGAGAGGAAGAGGAAGGCCAAGGAGAAGATGGGTGCAGGATGTGGCAGATGATCTCCAGATGGGTGTATCAGACGCAGGACATCTTGCTCATGATAGGAAGGTTTTCCGGAGGGTTGTTATGGCAGCGAGGTTCCGCGAGGGACATGCTACTGAATGAATGAATGAGTCTTGTTCATGAACTGAAAGGTGTGAGCTAGAATATTTGTTCATGTTGTTATTTCTTTTGTTACCAGGATGTTTCTTTCCAGGGTTGTTAAAATACACACCCAAGATGAATATCAGATACCAGCAATGAAGCATAGGTCTCCCTATTCTTTTATTTGTGAATGCCCCTCCCATAATTTATCTAGTACATAAATACGGCCAGCGCCAATTACTAACAACTTGAGCCACTGAGTCCTAACTGGACTATACAAATGTGGCTAGCACCATATAAATCTTCCTGTCTAACATTATGGTGATTGGACAGATTTATTGCTGTTTACCACAGAAACAGTACATGTCTGTATATATTTGTAGCTTTATTTTATTCAGTATGACAGTGTCCAACTGCTGACTCAGCTCTTGTATATCACCGTATTCTGTCCTGTATCTACTGTTTTGGGTAAACTGTAGACTAGATGTATGTCCATACTAGACCGTTGGTGATTATTAGTGTCTTCCAGGCTACTGATTTCAATGCAATTTTTTCATCAGGATTGAATGTTTGTTATTGCTGAGAATATTGGAGTTTGTGTAAATGAAATCACTTTACAGACAGTGAGTGTATCAGGACTACATTCTGGCTGAAGATATATAACAGCAACATAGATACACTACAGCAGGGCAGGGCTGGGCAAATGTCTGCATATTTATAACACCATTCGGGAGCTGTAAGCAATTATTAATGTGAAAATGTGCCTCTTATATTTGGTCAAAGACCCAGTTGCAGTTGCCTTGGTACGACCAGAAGAAATGGGTGTTGTACTATCTCCACCCCTGCAGTGCAGCCTCGCTCAGTCTAGACTCACTGCTTCAGTGAAAAACGGCAGTTGTTTGGCTTATGAAGTGACCCACTCAACATAGTCAGCAGATCTTGGACAGCGCATGACATCAACATTACGTGAAACAAATGTGTATCTATATGTGACTACATTTGTGGTGTTGAGTTTCTCCTGACTTTTCATTCAAGTTACTCAGATAAGGTTGGTGCATTTAGCCACTGATTGATCTCATTAGTCTGTGATTTGTGTTTGGTTGACATTCTGTTGCAATGATACAACACAGCAAGCTGGAAGTATTAATATAATATCATTATAGATACCATGATGATTCCGCTCTTATTCACAGCTGATGTGGTAGTATCATTATCTTATACATTGTGACGTCTTCAAACTGATTATAAATAAAATCCAATTTCTTTTCTCTTACGTTTGGTTGTTTCTTAAGGGTTATGAATAGTTTTATAATCTTGATGTTGGGTTCAAAGTCAGGTATAGGTAATTTGGAAGCAGACTGCTTTGTGGTGAGTATGATAACAGTATTCCAAGTGTGGATTCTAGAGCCCAATTGTTGGGGTGATGGGGGAAGGCGGTTAATTAGGGTTTCATCTAAGAGGTCTAGATATTGCAGTCTAGCTGTAAACTGCAATGTGCCAATGCCTTTTTTAAGGGAAATGCAGAAGAAAATATATGTGTGCGAACTTACTAAATATACAGTAGGTGGGTAAGTTGTACCCCACCAGGACATCACACAAGCGATAAACATCCAATGACATAAAGTGCCACCATGCGGATGAGGATCACCCTTGGAGACATCCCGGAAACCCCATTCAGCTGTTAAGCTATATTTAAGGGGATGACGATTACTAATGTAAATATAGATAAGACAAATCACTAGGGTTGGTTTGCAAGTACATTTTTGTTTTTATTAAAGAAATTACCCATGACAACAAATATATTCAACAGTCAGCATCCATTCTCTTTCATTGCATAGTCTACACATTACAAGCTATAATGAATGGATGCTTGCCCGTCATTGTGGAAGGCTTTGGCTTCATGGTTAATTATAATTAACTTGGCCTAAAAGTTGACCCGGCCTAAAATCCATACTAAAGGTGACCACTGTGATCTAGTGCTGACTGGTCTAAAAGATGCCACCAACAGCCAAACAAGATAATGTAGTGAATTTATTTTTGTTATAGATTCTAAAATCCACAGTGAATGTGGAAGAAAGGACAAATACATATTTACTAAGAGTTCAATTATAAAACAGCTTAAAAACACAAGTAAATCTAAATGGTATAACATACATCAGTGAAGAATGGCAATGGAACAACAAACAATGACACATACACTCAATGCAAGAGAGCATTCATTAGTTCTTAAAAACCGGCCTGGCTCACTTTGTAGTTGGTCCATCACAAGTGATGAAGATCACTTTTCATCCACAGTAGTAAGGATCATTGTTTATGAGTGCGAAGGCGGCTGATTAGTCCAATATGAGCCTGGAAAGTTCCTGAGCAGTGCGGACAACAGGTGGAAGATGCAGTAGGCGCGGGATTAGCGATACAGTTCTCTCTAGTCTGCCTCTGTTTCTCTGCTTGTACAACCTCTGCTGCCTGGCAGGCTGATGCACCATGCATGAGGGATGTATGCCATCTAGAACGGTCTTGTGCAGCAGCCTCCCATGTTGTTGTGTTGGTGTCAAAGGAATTAGGAGCAGTTTTGAGATTTGAGAGTGTCCTTATAGCATTTTTTTCTGTCGTCCCTGGGACCTCTTCCCTTGCTGGAGCTCGCCATAAAATACTCTTTCTGGGAGGCTCACCTCACTATCCACACTGTCTGCAGGTTTTTAAATTACCACAATCAGTAAATATAAAAAACAGCATAAAAGCATCATAAATAAATTCAAATATTCACTGGCACTCGTGGGAGCAGAATAAAGAAACAGAACCGGTTAATAGTCTGATGTGTTTGTTTATTTGACCTACACCTGGTTAATATACATTCCTGTAACTTATTCTGTTTCAATGGTTGGATATGAATTCTGTTCATATTCCTTACATATGTGTTCAGGTGGATGACAGACCTGGCAAATGATGACCTCTTTACAAGGGTGTCTAGTTAGCCATGCACTGAAGTTCACTTGTATCTGCAGTGAGGCACTTCACTATTTGAAGGCAGGCAATATGTTTGAATCCCACTAAGATATCTATAGCTTTCAACTGTTATATTGTCTAATGTGTCCTCCTCTCTCTAATTATTTCCTCTGCATCTATGAGCGCTGATCAGTACTTAGAAATTTACTGCTCACGTCTTTTCATTGGCTTTAAGTGTTCCCTAACAACAGACACATCTAGCTGAAAGTTTAGCCTATCAGCCTGGTGAAAGTGTGTGCTAGTGGTAGGGCCAAAATAAACCTCCCCAACATTTAGTCTGGTGTCAGCAACAGGACTGAACCCACAATCCAAAGCTTGGTCGATACTAGCCGTAGTATATAAGGACTGAATCAGTCCAGCACACACACATTCACTCAAAACTCAGCCCTCCCAGTATCACTCATTCCTCAACACAATAACAGACACACACAAAGAATCTCTGCTAATCCTGCTGAATGAAAGGGTTGGCTATGGCCTCCATGCCATCTGACGGACAAATCAACACCACTGATGTTCCTCGACACACGACCAGTCCCAGAGCTCTGGTGTCTTCTGTCAGTTTAAACGGGTCATCTGGATCTGAAATGTATCAAAGCCAGCGAATCAGCTCCAGGGAGGATTGGGTGGATATTCTTCTGCATTCACCCTTCCGAGGATGGCTGGTAAGCTGTGTGTGTTTTCCTGACAGTGTGGGGTTTTGGTAAAAGTCTACATTTGTGATATCAGCTGCTTTAAGCCCAACATATCCAATTTTAGTTAACATTTAATTTTTATGGCATGCTTGTTAGGGGAAATGTGCCCCCCAACCTCAATTTTGTTTTTAATTGGGGCCCAGGAACCCACCTACCCAGGGAAGATGAAGATATGAAATCCATTTATATTTTTAAAAATATATCATTCAGTACCTGTAAGTTACAGATACTCAGCTGATGCTATGTCAGAGTTTGTTTAATGCAATTTCTAGTCTTAGTTGTAGTTATCTTCACAATCCAACAAGTAGTCTATAGACACACAGTCATATCTCTGAGGTTCACCCTTAAAAACACATCACAAACAGTCACAAGACAAGAGAACTAAAATTCCAGTAAATCAAGATGTGAGGAAAAGATGGCGATGTTTGACAGGTCAAACACCGCTAGAATCTGATTATATAACTAGGAGTTCCTTAAAACAGAACCTTCAGGATCAAAGAAATAAAGGCAGACCAAAAAACACAAATGGATCAGAGGTAAAAAAAAAAAATTAAAAATAGGTGAGAACAAAAAAAAAAGGGAAGAACATGGTGTGAACTACATGCAATAACAAAACAAAGAATAACTTGTTGACACCTCAAATATGTTTTCTGGTTGTGTGTGTACGTTGTTTGGTCATGCCTCCAATGCTGAGTTAGTGGGACAGTCAAGTGTGTGTGTCATTTCCCCTTCAGATATGATATATGGTCAAGTCTGGTTGTTGTTTAACACACAAATATATCTAGTCAAATGTGTAATACTAAGCTTTCAAATGTAAAAATCAAGTCTCTTTGTTGTTTAGCTAAAATTGTTAACTAAGACAACACAAAACTCTTATGCAGTATGTGAAACTAAAAAGACTGCAAAATCGCCCACTGTTTTTCTAAAGAGAGAAGAAAAAACCAACTTCAGCAATTTAGATCTGACCACCATGCTAGAGAACTATACAGACAAAACTCAGATCTGACCACCATGCTAGAGAACTATACAGACAAAACTCAGATCTGTTGGAAAGAAATGTTGCACTCTGTGAAAAGCCTAGGTCATGACCCTGGACATGCAATCCGGATAAGGCAAAGTAGTCCTAGAAGCCTGGCTCTTGCTAAGCTCAAAGAAAAGTATCACAGTACTTAGGTTTTCACTGATGGCTCTGCTACAGATGCAGTCCTAAATGGAGGAGCAGAATATACGTAACACCCCAGCAGCAGAGTAGGAAACTACAAGCAGGTGACATCTGCACAAACTACAGACCTGAGGCAACTGCCCTCCTTTCTGCAATCCAGCACCTCATCACTCAAAAACACAGAGGGTCCAAACTGTTATACTCAGTGACTCACTGTCTCTTCTCCAAGCACTAGCAAGCAAAATGCAAGACAAACCAATTACAGATCTAAGGACCAGCACTGGACTGCTTTCCCAGAAGCAGAGCTGGTCCTGTGGTGGATACCAGATCACTGTGGTATTTAAGGAGATGAGAAGGCTGATGAGCTGGCAAGAGCTGGGAGTAATCAACAAGCTGAATCATGAGTTGAGTTGACTGAGCTGAGTTGATTCAAGAACCGACATCACAGCGCTCAGGGCATTCCCATAAGTGCTTCATCCCCATCTTAAGCAGCCAGTGAAGAGTTCCAATACTAACGGTGCCAGTAGTATTCTGATTAAACGTCCGTCTCGCCTTTCCTCTGAGCCTCTGCCAGAACACCTCGTCACTCCCCCCTGCATCAATTTCACCAGACTGTGGTGATCCATCTGCTCCTCTAAACTGTACACGCTTTTCCACAATGCACTAACCACGTCTTCCTTATCATGCATCAGTATTCCACCAAGTCAGCATGTCCGCCTGTTTATTTCTCAACACAACGGCGTTTCCCGGTGAAAAAATCCAGACAATACTCCTCACCCGTGTCCTACGCAGTGAGGCATGCCAGTCTGCATGAAGCGTGTCTGTCCTGACCTTCCTCAGCATGCTTTCTGAGTCAGTTACAATAACGATGACTGTGTGTGTGCTCTAGCCAGCGGAAAGCTGCAGTGACCACCTCCACTCTTAAGCTGGATGTTGTGGTATCATATGCTAGGCTCTCTCAAACCAAACACTAACATTTGCCTCTTGACACTGAACCATCTGTGTAAATAATAAAATCTTCTGAGCGAGCATTATATTTAATTAATTGCTGAATTTTCACTTCCGTGGCACCTGCTGGCCAGTCTCTGCATTATCGGCTCAGTGCGATTATGACCCTACACAAGTCTGACTGTTCAGGTGGCACTTTGACCCACTCTTCTCCTAGCCTAATGTTCTCAAGGATGCAAACCTGTCTGATTGTGTCTTCTGCCTGAGCCATCCATGACTTCCCTCTTATCAGCCTCTGACCCTTAACTGCACCCAGAGCTTCCTGCAAAGGGTGTCTGCAGCTACCCTGAGATATGACTTCACCCTGCAGCACCTTGTGCCTACCTGCAACAGTCAGCAAACCAAGGATGTTTGGCATACACACCACTGGGGTGTCTCTGTTGCAACCCAGAATTACCCACAAAGCTGCGTTCTGTAAGCGCTCTAGTTTGTCCATCTGACTCTTTGAGACGGTAAGCAGTCCCAGGCCATAATCAACCACTGACAGGATCAGGTGCTGATACAGTGTGAAAAACATTGCAGCCATAGTCTAAAGTGCAGCACTAAGTCTTTTTTTGGCATCTTGTCACAACACTATCCACATGGTCCTTAAAGGACAGGCTCCTGAATCATGACAGATACAACCAAAATAATCCTAAAGCAGTCTTTAAAAGGGCAGTAGAGAAGGCACAATGGAGACTACAGATCAAGAGCGACAGTGTAAACAGACTCAACAAGAAAGAGTAAACATCAATTGGTAGGCTTCAGACAGAACACAGCGGTTTTAGAGCACACCTACACTAGACAAGAATCTGCCATCTGTGACTGTGGAGCAAACAGACTCCTGAGCGTGTACTGTGGAGCAGACAGACTTCTGAGCTTGTAATATGAAGCAGACAGACACCTGAGCATGTCCTGTGGAGTAGACAGACTCCTGAGCATGTACTGTGAAATAGACAGACTCCTGAGCATGTACTGTGAAGCAGACAAACTCCTGAGCATGTACTGTGAAGCAGACAGACTCCTGAGCATGTACTGTGAAATAGACAAGACTCCTGAGCATGTACTGTGAAGTAGACAGACTCCTGAACATGTACTGTAAAGCAGACAGACTCCTGAGCATGTACTGTGAAGCAGACAGACTCCTGAGCATGTACTGTGAAGCAGACAGACTCCTGAGCATGTACTGTGAAGCAGACAGACTCCTGAGCATGTACTGTGGATTAGACAGACTCCTGAGCATGTACTGTGAAGCAGACAGACTCCCGAGCATGTACTGTGAAGCAGACAGACTCCTGAACATGTACTGTAAAGCAGACAGACTCCTGAGCATGTACTGTGAAGCAGACAGACTCCTGAGCATGTACTGTGAAGCAGACAGACTCCTGAGCATGTACTGTGAAGCAGACAGACTCCTGAGCATGTACTGTGAAGCAGACAGACTCCTGAGCATGTACTGTGAAGCAGACAGACTCATGAGCATGTACTGTGAAATAGACAGACTCCTGAGCATGTACTGTGAAACAGACAGACTCCTGAGCATGTACTGTGAAGCAGACAGACTCCTGAGCATGTACTGTGGAGTAGACAGACTTCTGAGCATGTACAGTGGAGTAGACAAGACTCCTGAGGGTGTACTGTGGAGCAGACAGACTCCTGAGCATGTACTGTGAAGCAGACACATGTACTGTAAAGCAGACAGACTCCTGAGCATGTACTGTGAAGCAGACAGACTCCTGAGGGTGTACTGTGGGGTAGACAGACTCCTGAGCGTGTACTGTGGAGTAGACACACTCCTGAGCATGTACTATGGAGTAGACAGAATCCTGAGCGTGTACTATGGAGTAGACAGACTCCTGAGCGTGTACTGTGAAGCAGACAGACTCCTGAGCTTTTACTATGGACTTCTGGGCATGTACTGCAGGCTTGCCCTAACTACTTCTTGTGAAGGTTGGGGATCTAGCCAATGAAGCCACAATACAAACAAGCAGAGATGCAGCACACCTCATCTGTGACCTATATAGGACTGAACATTTAAGATGGCTTAGCTCTAAAACACAACAGTCAGTCACATCCATGTGTCATTTAGCTCTCCCAAAAAAAGGGTCAAGTCTGTGTTGTTTACCCCTCAAATGTGAAATCTGGTAATTAAGCTCTCAAAAGTAACAGTCAAGTCCGTGATGCTTACCCCTCAAATATTCTGTTGTTCCATCCAGTACAAGGTTTAACAGCTGATCAAATCCTTTCAAGATCCCACTTGCTGAAATGCAAGAAAACAAATGTAAACAAATAAGCTGACAACAAACAAACTGATAAACAAGGATGAGTCCCTTACACCTGGTCATAGTGAGTCATTACAGGTTTGTCAGCATTTTTCTGTCTCCCCAGATTATAATGTTATACTGTGCAGGCATGAGAGTCAGTCTACGCTGATCCTCTTCATAGCACAAAGCCTGGAAAGTACTGTAGAGTCCATGAGTTGTCCATACATCATGATCCCTCTCTCGGCCTGCCTTATTTACTCCCAAAGAAAAGTAACATCAACACGTTTGGAACCAAGCATGCCGCAGAAGCTGCCAGATCAGAAAGAAAAGCAGTGCTGTCTGTCTACTTGTTGGAGCTTCCCTTCTGAACCAGCTGCCACCCAAGGCTTAGTACCTGGTCTGTCCTGCCACCCAAGGCTTAGGGTCTGGTCTGTCCTGTCACCCAAGGCTTAGGGTCTGGTCTGTCCTGTCACCCAAGGCTTAGGACCTGGTCTGTCCTGTCACCCAAGGCTTAGGACCTGGTCTGTCCTGTCACCCAAGGCTTATGACCTGGTCTGTCCTGTCACCCAAGGCTTAGGACCTGGTCTGTCCTGCCACCCAAGGCTTAGGGTCTGGTCTGTCCTGCCACCCAAGGCTTAGGACCTGGTCTGTCCTGTCACCCAAGGCTTAGGACCTGGTCTGTCCTGTCACCCAAGGCTTAGGGTCTGGTCTGTCCTGCCACCCAAGGCTTAGGACCTGGTCTGTCCTGTCACCCAAGGCTTAGGACCTGGTCTGTCCTGTCACCCAAGGCTTAGGACCTGGTCTGTCCTGTCACCCAAGGTTTAGGGTCTGGTCTGTCCTGTCACCCAAGGCTTAGGGTCTGGTCTGTCCTGTTATAACATTTAAGTTCTTAGATTAGCTATTTACATCCAGAATATTGAAATACTCATACTATTTTTTGGACCACTGTAGCAAAGTAGATGCCAGTGCCAAGTAAATGAATCCATGTGATATCATCCAGTAATATGTAACCTGTTGAGCAATGTAGTCAAACTTAGACTGATGTACAGTGATGAATACACAAGCTAAGAGCTGCTTCCATAGCATTATGAAATGTGAGAATGACTAAAACATGTCTATGAAGTTTTCAAGCATGTCACTCTATAATGTAGAAGCTATAGCAGACTGACTAGAGGCTGCATGCCAGACTGGAGATAAGATTTATAACTAGAGAAACCCAAAGACTGAACACTGATGGGAGACCAAAGGTGCTGCACTGAAGGCCATTTATGATACTGAAAAGAACACACAGGACAGGAATTGAGGAATACACTGCAAGCTTTATGTGACATAAAAAATAGCATGACATGGTGATGATGAATAGGGCAACAATCAATAAAAAAAAATACACATGCTGAGAGCACGTATAACGATGGTTTTCTCAATGCTCAAGTCTTCAAAGGCTCAGGTGTCCAGGACACACACACAGATTATGAAAGATAGTTGAGTTCCAAAGGACATTTCAACCTCTACTGTGATATGAAGATGTGTATGAGTGGGACATGAATGATACAGGCATTTGGATGGTAATGGCAACAGGATGCCATTGATCATGTTGCAGGGAAGGGAACAACCAAGGACCAACAGCAACATTTTGTTCTTCTACGTTCTGAGTGCTTGAGAGCCATTACTGCAGACATCACCCACTTTATTCATTTCTCTGAATGACTTTCTCTTTCCAGGTGGTGACTCCAAGTATTTGCATCTCTACTCCATCTGTCACCACACTGACCATATTTATATCCGGAAAAATTGTCTGCTACTTGTTTCAATGAAAGAATCAATCAGCATCATTTAGTATACAAAGTCACAGTGTAGACACATGATAAAGCTGAACTAACCCACGACAAGATGGCAATCAATATAAATGTTGATGGAATTTATTACCTTCTCTTCCGCCACTGAATTTGACTCTGATGGGCTTGTCTAGATACTTTTTCAGATCAAGAATGCTTTCCTTCTTCTTCTTCTCCTTATCTGCGTCTGTTCTTCTGTCGCCTCCTTGGGAAATCTAAAGATAAAACAATCATTAAAATGTCAATGTTGTTGGCAGCTTTCAGTTTATCCAGACTATAGTATTATACTGTGCTACAGGGAGGTAACGATCACAGCCCATGTCAATGGCAAGTGTTTTTAGCAAGAACAGTGTGGTTTGGGAGGACTGATAAAACAATGGGAGAAGTGCATCAGTGCTGGTGGAAATTAGGTTGAATAATAAAGGGACAGTGTACATGTAAAAAAATAAACATTTTTGTTAAGCTTACAATTTTTTTTTTACACAACCATTTGTGACTTACTTATTGACTTCCCCTCATAACATTGCTAGTCTCCTCATAACATCAATGGTCTTATCATAATAACATCCCTGGTCTCATCATAACAACATCCTCTGCCTTGTCATAAATCATCATTGGTCCCATCACAAAAACATTTCTGATATCATCAAAGCATCAACATAACAGCCTGTGTGCGTTGGGGCCCCAGTGAAGGGGCTGGGGGGGGGGGGGGCGAACAGACTTACTGCCTCCTTAACACAACGTACAAGGCAACTAATTAGGGATCAAAGACAGAATGTATCTACCTGAGGAACCAACCATATGCATACAAATAAGCCAGATAAGCCAAATGGATGTGCATACAAATAAGCCAGATAAGCCAAATGGATGTGCATACAAATAAGCCAGATAAGCCAAATGGATGTGCATACAAATAAGCTAGATGGATGTGCATACAAATAAGCCAGATAAGCCAAATGGATGTGCATACAAATAAGCCAGATAAGCCAAATGGATGTGCATACAAATAAGCCAGATAAGCCAATTGGATGTGCATACAAATAAGCCAGATGGATGTGCATACAAATAAGCCAGATAAGCCAGATGGATGTGCATACAAATAAGCCAGATGGATGTGCATACAAATAAGCCAGATGAATGTGCATACAAATAAGCCAGATAAGCCAGATGGATGTGCATACAAATAAGCCAGATAAGCCAAATGGATGTGCAAACAAATAATCCAGATAAGCCAAATGGATGTGCATACAAATAAGCCAGATGGATGTGCATACAAATAAGCCAGATAAGCCAGATGGATGTGCATACAAATAAGCCAGATGGATGTGCATACAAATAAGCCAGATGAATGTGCATACAAATAAGCCAGATGGATGTGCATACAAATAAGCCAGATAAGCCAAATGGATGTGCATACAAATAAGCCAGATAAGCCAAATGGATGTGCATACAAATAAGCCAGATAAGCCAATTGGATGTGCATACAAATAAGCCAGATGGATGTGCATACAAATAAGCCAGATAAGCCAGATGGATGTGCATACAAATAAGCCAGATGGATGTGCATACAAATAAGCCAGATGAATGTGCATACAAATAAGCCAGATGGATGTGCATACAAATAAGCCAGATAAGCCAAATGGATGTGCATACAAATAAGCCAGATAAGCCAAATGGATGTGCATACAAATTTTTTGTTCTGGACCAAGGTCACAGTCCAGAAGTGGATAAACCAGAAACTACCTTCCAGAGTTTACAGCGTTCCAGTACAAGTTAAGACGAAGAAGACAATCAGAGTAACATCCCTGGTCTCATTACAATAGCACCCTGATATCTAACAGGCATGAAATACATCTGAATGCTGGTAATCAACAGTTGTAAGACACGGAAGATGGCTGGTATCTGGCCAGTATCAACATGTTGGTCCCAGCATTTACCGAGATGAACAGCCGGCAGTAGAGTATCTGCCTTGGGACTAACTCTAAACAGTATTAATATTATTGACTAATTCAGAAACTCATTGGGCTTTTGTTTTTCTGGCGGCATGTAATGACATGCAGTACTCAGTACATGTCCTTTCTTTTTATGCAATCATTTTTTCAGCACTAGTGGAGTATACATTTTACTGTGAGTACTAATACCTGTTTAGTACACTTCACTCTATCACTTTGTGGTGAGTACTGGCACCTGTTTAGTATACTTTACTGTATGGTGAGTACTGGCATCTGTTTAGTATACTTTACTGTATGGTGGGTATCGGCACCTGTTTAGTACACTTTACTGTATGGCGAGTACTAACACCTGTTTAGTACAATTTACTTTTTGGTGAGTATCGGCACCTGTTTAGTACACTTCACTCTATCACTTTGTGGTGAGTACTAATACCTGTTTAGAACACTTTACTGTATAGTGAGTATCAGCACCTGTTTAGAACACTTTACTGTACAGTGAGTATCAGCACCTGTTTAGTACACTTTACTGTATAGTGAGTATCAGCACCTGTTTAGTATACTTTACTGTATAGTGAGTATCAGCACCTGTTTAGTATACTTTACTGTATAGTGAGTATCAGCACCTGTTTAGTATACTTTACTGTATAGTGAGTATCAGCACCTGTTTAGAACACTTTACTGTACAGTGAGTATCAGCACCTGTTTAGTACACTTTACTGTATAGTGAGTATCAGCACCTGTTTAGTATACTTTACTGTATAGTGAGTATATCAGCACCTGTTTAGTATACTTTACTGTATAGAGTGAGTGTCAGCACCTGTTTAGAACACTTTACTGTATAGTGAGTATCAGCACCTGTTTAGAACACTTTACTGTATAGTGAGTATCAGTACCTGTTTAGAACACTTTACTGTATAGTGAGTATCAGCACCTGTTTAGAACACTTTACTGTATAGAGTGAGTATCAGCACCTGTTTAGAACACTTTACTGTATAGTGAGTATCAGTACCTGTTTAGAACACTTTACTGTATAGTGAGTATCAGTACCTGTTTAGAACACTTTACTGTATAGTGAGTATCAGTACCTGTTTAGAACACTTTACTGTATAGTGAGTATCAGTACCTGTTTAGAACACTTTACTGTATAGTGAGTATCAGTACCTGTTTAGAACACTTTACTGTATAGTGAGTATATCAGCACCTGTTTAGTATACTTTACTGTATAGAGTGAGTGTCAGCACCTGTTTAGAACACTTTACTGTATAGTGAGTATCAGCACCTGTTTAGAACACTTTACTGTATAGTGAGTATCAGCACCTGTTTAGTACACTTTACTGTATAGTGAGTATCAGCACCTGTTTAGAACACTTTACTGTATAGTGAGTATCAGCACCTGTTTAGAACACTTTACTGTATAGAGTGAGTATCAGCACCTGTTTAGAACACTTTACTGTATAGTGAGTATCAGTACCTGTTTAGAACACTTTACTGTATAGTGAGTATCAGTACCTGTTTAGAACACTTTACTGTATAGTGAGTATCAGCACCTGTTTAGAACACTTTACTGTATAGTGAGTATCAGCACCTGTTTAGAACACTTTACTGTATAGTGAGTATCAGCACTTGTTTAGAACACTTTACTGTAGAGAGTGAGTATCAGCACCTGTTTAGTACACTTTACTGTATAGTGAGTATATCAGCACCTGTTTAGTATACTTTACTGTATAGTATAGTGAGTGTCAGCACCTGTTTAGAACACTTTACTGTATAGAGTGAGTATCAGCACCTGTTTAGTACACTTTACTGTATAGTGAGTATCAGCACCTGTTTAGTATACTTTACTGTATAGTGAGTGTCAGCACCTGTTTAGAACACTTTACTGTATAGAGTGAGTATCAGCACCTGTTTAGTACACTTTACTGTATAGTGAGTATCAGCACCTGTTTAGTATACTTTACTGTATAGTGAGTGTCAGCACCTGTTTAGAACACTTTACTGTATAGAGTGAGTATCAGCACCTGTTTAGTACACTTTACTGTATAGTGAGTATCAGCACCTGTTTAGTATACTTTACTGTATAGTGAGTGTCAGCACCTGTTTAGAACACTTTACTGTATAGAGTGAGTATCAGCACCTGTTTAGTACACTTTACTGTAGAGAGTGAGTATCGGCACCTCTTTAGTATACATCACTTTGTGGTGACTACCAACACCTTCACTCTGTCACTTGTGGTGAGAACCAACACCTTCACTCTGTCACTTGTGGTGAGTACTGGCACCTGTTTAGTACACTTACTTACCCTTTACTTTGTAGTGAGTACTGGCACGTTTTAGTACTTACACTTGACTTTGTGGTGAGTAGAGTACCCTCAGTACCAGTACCGGGTACCGCCACCCAATTTTTTAACGAAAAAAATTAAAAGGTCCATTTGTTTTTTCATTATAGCTTATTACTTTTTAAAAAGCTGATAAATTCAACAAAACTGAGATAATTCAACCAATAATAATCTTTTTTAAACAGTTGTAATTTCCTATTTCTCAGTAGTATTCAGTATGATCTCAGTGAGATTTGAGAAAATTAATCATCGAAAACTGGTTTTAATTTGTTTGTTTTCATTGATTTTTTTTTTCCATCAGCTGTTGCAGACAACTGTTCGACATATAACAGATAATTAATGGTCTAAAATTATCAACTATCATCGTGCAGTTCGAACAGAAATGAAACCATTACCTGCTGAGACATGATAGCAACGTTCCCTTGTGTTTAAGTCAAACGTTACCGTTAACGTGCCGAAATTAAAATCGAAACTTCGCCGACCGGAACACTTCCGGTTTCCGGGTCATGTTTTTGATAAAGCCAGTCATTGATATGCGGGAAAACTGAAAACTGGAGTAAGTATATGATATACTTACTCCAGTGTTGCCACTTTGGATGTTTTACATCCGGGTTTAGATGTTACAAACCAACAAACCTGTTTAAATATATCAGCATACATATAGGCAGATCCATCCATCCGTCTACCATTGCATCTATCCACGAACGTAACCATCGTCCCGCCCATTCATCTACCCACACCATTTATCCCATCATCCACTCAATGCTATTTTTCACCGCTTCCTTCCATTATGGCTGTTACCAGCTTTGCACTTGGTCTCGACTAATACTGTGTATAAAAATCACCCTTACTGTCTCTATTTGATAGCTGACAGTAAGAGAGAAGCACTTTGTTACTAGACTCATGTTTTTACCTCATCTCATATTTGGTCGATCCATCCATCCATCTACCATTCCATTCATCTACAAATACAGTCATCCATCATTCCATCCATTTATCTACCCACCCATCTATCCAGGACGCACTCACCCATTCACTCCACCATCCACACATGCCGTTTTCCCATCTATCCCTTCATCGCTCCTTTACATTCTGGTTGTTATCAGTTTTACTCTCGGGCTCGACTGATTACTTTTGTTTAACAAGCATCCTTACTGTCTCTATTTGATAGCTGACAGTAAGAGAGAGAGACATCTTATCACGAGACCCCTGTTTTTTACCCGATTCTATATATTAGCAATTCCATTCATCCACTAATATAGCCATCCTTTACCCATCCACTCATCTACCCACCCATCTATCCCACCACCCACTCGCCCACTCACCTCACCCTCCACCCTAGCTATTTTTCCATGGCTCCCTTACATTCTTTTTTTTTTTTTAAACCAGTTCTGCGCTCGGTTCGACTGATACTTTGTATAACAAACACCCTTACTGTCTCTATTTCATAGCTGACAGTAAGTTAGAAGCATCGTGTCTTGAGGCCCTTGCCTTTACCTGATGTCATATATCGGCCGATTCATCCATCTATTATACTTTGTATCCATCCACGAGTATAGCCATCATTTTGTCTATTTGTCTACCCGCCCATCAATTGCGCAACTCACTCATCCATTCAACCCACCATCCACGATCTATCTAATCTATTTAATCTGTCTGTCCGCCCGCCCGTCCGCCGGTCCGCTCGTCCGCCGGTCTTTCTGTCTGTCTGTCCGCCGGTCTGTCCGCCGGTCTGTCTGTCTGTCTGTCTGTCTGTCTGTCTGTCTGGCTGGCTGGCTGGCTGGCTGTCTGTCTGTCTGTCTGTCTGTCTGTCTGTCTGTCTGTCTGTCTGTCTGTCTGTCTGTCTGTCTGTCTGTCTGTCTGTCTGTCTGTCTGTCTGTCTGTCTGTATGTCTGTCTGTCTGTCTGTCTGTCTGTCTGTCTGTCTGTCTGTTGATATTTATTTGCTAGCACAGGCACCAATTTTATTCCATGCGGATAGACTAATGTCATCCCCACAACCCAACCCTGGTTACGCCCGCCTTATAGGCCAACCCCTCCCTCTCTCCTTAGACACTCAGTGTACGCTGTTGGCGTCTAATCCGCCATTTTTTTCGCTCCCCACCCTCGCGTTGGAGATATATAGGTTAGTGGCTGGCTGTCATTTTATTGTACGAAGTTTTTTCGCCAGGGACACAGATGAGTATCATTTATTTTATACATTAGAGTCCTATGTAGTCACTTCATAGTTAGAGCATATTTGTGTATGTGTACTGTGTTGTCCTTTATGTGATGATGAAGACTGATCGCCGCAACGTCCTTTGTTTGTTTATTGTGATCGATTTTGTAAAGCTAACATAAACTATTTGTTGTTTCTTACCAACTTTTTCTCTTCCCTATAATTTTCTACTCCTTTTAAAAACTTGCATTTAGATGGCGTTTTTGACGTTTATATGGTAGATGTTTTTCTAGATGTTTGTCATTCAGAGTGAATTTATCAAATCTAACCTAAGAAACAGGTTGAAACTTGACCTCTTAAATGCTATCTTGACAATTGTGCCGGATAAGAGTAGGAAAAGGCTGTTTCACTTATCAGCTCCCTGACTGGGTATTAAAAGAAATTGGAACAGCTAAAGCATTACCAGAGTCATTTTGGATCTGAAGCTTCAACTTCATCATCCAAGCTAAGTTTATCCTATGGATCTTGTAAGGCAGACTTCAGTTAAGATTAGGACATGATTCTATAGGCTGTCATATAAATTGCTATGTAATTTGTGACTCTTTCCATTTGGATGTTTTTTCTAGATGTTTTCCACGCAAATGTAGATGTTTTTAGATATTTTTTGACTCCGTTTTGGATGTTTTATGTCAATGAAAAGTGGCAACACTGAGTATATCCTGACAGCAGAAAAGTGGAGGAGAAGAGAAGCAGTGAAAGACCGAAAGAAAGGATGCTGGTCAGTTTGACATCGTGGCATGGAGGATCATCTGTATCAGAATTGATTGAAAGAACGAAAGACATAAGATTGAGGATAGACATGAATACCAGCGCCACACTGTATGGAAGAAGAGGAAAACTATTGATATACTAAATTAGCAATAGGTCGTTGTTCTTTCATTGTTTTTTAATAACTATTCGACATACCCTATCTAATTTTACGGTTGAACGGGGTTTCTAAGATTTGACCTGTAGGAGTCTCATCGGAGTAATGTCGCAGTGCACTTTGTCACAGGGTGTTAATCGCTCAGTGTGCGATCCTAGTGCGGTTCAGTCTCACTCACCAATCACTCTCTCACGTCCTTACTCCTGACCAGCAAAAGACCGCAGGTTACACCTGGCAGGTGTCCTTATTATAACTGTTTGGGGCGTTGAACTGGTTGTCTATGATCTGCCTTGTTGGTCTGTAGCACAGACTGAGATTCTTCAAAATCTCAGGATGTTATGGAAACATTATTTTATAGCGAACCGATCGATCGATTCTTCTTCTTCTTTCAATTGCTTGAGATAGATTTTCCATATCTGCACTATTGTCTCTAGTATAAGCTTCACTGTCTGTTGTCATTCAGTCAGCGACTCGTACAGTTTGGCTTGCACCGGTGTGTCTCTTAGCTACAAGTGTTGCCTTGATATGTTTATTTGGGACAGTCTTGGGGGACATGATCTGTTGTCTCAGGTGTCAGTCCACATTTGTCATTCAGTCAGCGACCCGTACAGTTTGGCTTGCACCGGTGTGTCTCTTAGCTACAAGTTTTGCCTTGATATGTTTATTTGGGACAGTCTTGGAGTACATGATCTGTTGTCTCAGGTGCCAGTCCACATGTGCACTTGGCTGATTCGCCGATTTTAAATTTTGTGTACATGTGGCTGCGAAGTTGATTGTGTCCTGTTTTAATGTGTAAAATAATGACTAGCTTTGATCTGTTCATTATATGTTAATCGTCTGTTGTCAGTTTTTGGCGGCCTTTTGATTGATTTGAATATTTTCTTCATTCTGTTGATAAGAGACTGGTACGTCAGGTTGTTCTTCATTTGCACCTTCCTTAGCTAGTTAATAGCTCTTTCATTTGCACGATTCTTACCCCCAATTGCTATCCCTAGGATTAACACCCCAGGGATAAGAATCAAACGGAAACAAATCACAGAAACCTTGTTTAACCATACAATAGTTATACTGAGGCGCAACTACTGTTACAAAGTAAACATATCCTCTGGTACATGGCATATATCTGTTCCTGCTCTTTTGTTCAGCTTGGAGATTCTGCAATTTTCAGTGTCTGCTAAGACTAGCCAGGAAAACAAGCAAAAGGATTGATCATTGGCGCTCATTGAAGTAACACTGACAGTTAGTTACAACATGGAAGCTGACTTGTCTGTTGAATACCACTGACTCTGGTGTCTATCTTCACGTAAGCTCTGTATGTTAGCTATTGGCCACGACTGTCTAATTCTCGGATTCGCCAAGATTATGCACATTTCCAAATATGTAAAATCTTAGCAGCAAACAGGTCGGTAATAAATAGGTTAAAATAGGAGGAAACATGTGGATAAAATAGGTTAAAAAGGAGGGAACACATTATTAATAAATAGGTTAAAGTAGGAGAAACAGATAGATCATAAATAGGTTAAAATGGGGGAAACATATCGATCATAAATAGGTTAAAATAGAGGCACCTCCAGCCAGTGTTTCATCTCTTATATAGTTACTTTATTCATTAATTGTCCAGTTGTGCCCATGCATGTCCACATAGGTCGCTGTTTATTCCTCCACTCATCAGGGCTATCCCGTGCAACCTCCCCGATTATCATGGATAGAACCAAACTACGCTGTGCAATCTACCCGATTATCATGGATAGAACCAAACTATCCCGTGCAACCTCCCCGATTATCATGGATAGAACCAAACTATCCCGTGCAATCTACCCGATTATCATGGATAGAACCAAACTACCCTGTGCAATCTACCCGATTATCATGGAATGAACAAAACTATCCCGTGCAATCTACCCGATTATTATGGATAGAACCAAACTATCCTGTGTAATCTACTCGATTATCATAGATAGAACCAAACTATCCCGTGCAATCTACCCGATTATCATAGATAGAACCAAACTATCCCGTGCAATCTTCCCGATTATCATGGACAGAACAAAACTATCCCGTGCAATCTTCCCGATTATCATGGACAGAACCAAACTATCCCGTGCAATCTTCCCGATTATCATGGACAGAACCAAACTATCCCGTGCAATCTTCCCGATTATCATGGACAGAACCAAACTATCCCGTGCAATTTTCCCCATTATCATGGACAGAACCAAACTATCCCGTGCAATCTTCCCGATTATCATAGATAGAACCAAACTATCCCTTGCAATCTATTCGATTGTCAAGGATAGAACGAAATCCAGCACCTCTGACCTCTCT